TGAGCAAAATTGTCATATAGCAGAGTGGTCATATATTGTATATATATTAGAGACTCTAGTTAGGTGGGGCTTTTTGTTTATTACATCTGCAATTAGCAGCCCGTAGTGTATATTTATGTGCTGGGTTTCACCTTTTAGCCTATTGCACCTTTTGCAAGTGCGGATATTTATTTTGTTAGAATGGCACAACCATTTGTCACTGAGCAAAACATGCAGAAGAGCCTTGTGGTATATAAGTTGATTAGATGTCCTTCAGAAACCTTCTGAAGAAACCAGAACAGCACCTCATTTATTGTTGTAAACAACAAAAAGCCTCTTGTGTTAACTGCTGCTAATGTTTGAAGAGAGCTTTTGCTCCAAAGCATGAAGTATACTCTATTTACTTGAGGTTACAGCTGGCAAAGATTTTTCCATCACCACTTAATTTTTTCCTGCAGTTATCTTGTTCATGTTTCTTCCTCTGACTTTTATAGGAGCGTGGCCATAACATATTGAGAAAAGACTCTGCAAAATACAGTTGGATGTAGTATATTTAGGTCTTGTAAAAACAGTGAATTCCCAACAGGATTTTAATTATCAATTAGTGCTGCTTGCAGGCAGACAAATCTATGAATTTCTCAAGTACAACATCCAAGGCATGACTTCAGAGTACTTCAAAGAAAAATGGCTTTGTCAATAGAAACTGCAGTATACTTAACTTAGAGATAAGGTATAAAGTAGACTCAGAGACGTGTATTTTACAATGCTCTCCACTTTTCCAAATAATTTAAGTATCAGTGGAGAGAACAATTTCTGGCTCTCAAGAAAGTCCTAATGTGAAACTCCTTTTCATTTCAGGAGAGCAGTACGGTATTGAATTGACTTTCTTCACCAACTTGCAATACAAGAATTGTTGGGAGTGCAGGGCAGGGAGATGTGGTGAAAATAGAATGGTTATATTCCTCTCTAGTGTTTACAGATGGATTGGGTTCCTCTGCATTTAGAAACTTTAGTCTCATTTGTCATATTTAAGCCAAGTTAGAACTTTGTACACAAACTGTACAAAGAGGGTTAGTGAGTCTCAACCTAGTGAATCATTTTCCTTGATGAAAGGAGCTGAGGGAGATTTTCATCAGTAAAACCTAATAGCAGTTCCACTTAAAAATAATTGTTTTTCTTACTTGCCTGATGTGACCAGTAATTCTGAATAGTACTGAACAGTAGAAGCAACTGCTTGTAAGTGAGAGCATTGTTTAGTTGTGAGGGTATGCCTGTCATGAATTTTTTAGTGTCTTTCAGGGTACTTTGCAGACTTAGTGGTCCAAACTGTGTGTTTAGTAACAGTCCTGAATTTTTAGAAGTATATTCATAGGAGTGGTAAGCCAGTTATATTTAATGCAAATGATAGCTCAGTTTAATTGCATTTAAAGTAGGACGAGTATTTAAATGTAGAGTATGTTGTTGTATTTATAGTTTTGAGCATGTCTTTAATGTAGTTAAGGTGGGATTCCCAAACCTTCTGGAAAAATAATTGGAAGGGACTGCAGGCTGGTGTTTGGAAAGGACTTTCACCTGCTTGGATGGCTTCTCCTGACAGTGCTCCAGGCTCTACTTCCAAAGGAAATTAACTAAACTAGAGATGCCATGGACACCTCAGTTCATGGGTTAGTGCTGTTTTTCTTAGCTGAGCCCAGATCTTCAGTGTTTTAGGTGCAGAGAGACACATCCAGTCCTTTGTACTTACTGAGGTCCTGCTGAGTCCTTACTGAGAACCTTTGGCTTGCACTAAGGTGAGAAAAGTCATGATTGTTTCATCCCTACAAAAAATGAACCATATTTTAAATAGTTTCCTAAAATACAGTCAGGTATCCCAATTCAGACAGTTGCCTCTGATTGTTGCCCCTGTGGTCTAAATAAGGACAAGAGCCAGCAAAACAAAAGCAAGGAGTTAGAAAAATGAAAAAGATACCAACAGGAAAGTACGATTTTTCTAGGTAATTATGTGCAAATATTTGACTCTTAATGGATGATAATTACGTGTGCTTTCAGACATTGCAGAAAGAGTAGGCTTTTCAGGGGATTCACATTCACAGGCTTTGACTGACTGTGATTAATGACAATATTTTGGCAAAATTATTTCTATTGCCATTCTGTAAAGACCAGAAAATGTAAAACACAGTACCAAAGTCACAGGTGAAATCCTAGTTTTACTTGAAAATGCTGAATATGTATGATTAAAATTTAAGAGTTCTCTCTGTAGGAAACGGCAGGTGTGACTATTTTTAATGTAAGCTTGTATTCTGTTATGGACTCTTTATAGGTCTGCTTTTGTATTTTCAGTCATAGCCTGAAAACATCTGGCATTGCTCGCTTAAATCCTCCTAATCTTCCGTTTGATTACACGTGTTCCACTCTAGTTACGGTCCATCAGAAAAGCAAAAATAAAGCATATTTCATATGTAAAAGTTTTTTACTTGTGTTCATATTAAAAGTAAATAAAGGGGATAAATGAAATTATTCCCTTCAGCCTTTTACTAAGCACTGTTCTCAGAAAAGCAGGGTTTTTGAAGAATGATAACCATCTAAAAATGACTTCTATTTACATATATTGCAGGTTTATATTTTTCTATTTTTATTTGGAATTTTTTAATCTATTCCCTGGTAAAAAATCAGCAGGAAGGGTTAGGGTTTTTTAAGACTTTGATACTACTTGTGAAGTCCTTGGTGCTGCTTTCCACTGTATGATAGTTCATTAAAACACTTGGTTGTCTCGGGATGCTGTTTGGAAGTGCAGTAAATAACAACTTTGCCAGTAACTGTCTAAGGGCAGCTGGAAGTTTCTGCACTCTGAGGAAATAGTCCAGCGTGCTGACTTGCAACTGTACGACATGAAATGAAAGGCTGCCCCTCCTGAAGACACACGTGCACTTGAAGCTCAGATTTTTGTTACATTTTATTTAGGTGAAGTTAGAAATCTTTGGATTTAGGACCGAACTCCTATCTGGTTTTGTAACATTTCATGTTTTACAGAACTTGGATAAGCCAGAGCTGCTTTTGAGTGCATGATCCTATTTTATAGATTTTTAAGACATAAAAAATTGAAGCTATTCTATCCTGGCTTCAGGAGCTGTGAGGCTGAATGTTCCTTTTTGTCTGCATATGAGGTTCTACGTATTAATTGTAATGAAAGGCATTTTCTATATTTGCATGTATTTTATCAGGTAGAAAGTACTGCACTAAAATTGACTTACAGATTGTAGAATTGAATTGTGTGTTTAAAATTAAAACTGTTTGTAATGGCAAGAATAAAGAATATTATGAATAATCATGGCTGGGCTTCGCGAACGAAGATTCAGGAAAGGTCTCTATGAAGCTTAAAAAATGGAAATACCTTCTATTGTAGTGCCTGTAGCTGAGTTCGTTTAACTGTGAAGGGTAATTTTTTTTTCTTTCTAAAAAATGCTCTCTACAAAATGTACCTTATGCTTTCTTTTAAATCTTGTTTTTCATTTCAAACACACTTTCATCTCTGGTTAAATTTATTACAGGTGTATAAACAGTCCTTAGCGCCATTTTAATTGTATAAAGAAAATGAGACCGCAAAAAATGGATTTACATTTAACAGTGGTAGATTGGCCTAATTGTTTGCTTCTCTAAATTCTCTTGCTAAATGCTGTACTTCCCCTGTGAGGCCAGTTTCTGTTATTACACAGTGAATCATGTATGATCAGGCATGGTAGGAGTGAAAATGCTGCCATCACAATGTTAGAAGATGGTTCCTCTATCAGGTAGGAACCTGAGTTTATAGCAGTAGGATATTGAACATGCAAATGTTTACTGTGTATCTTCCACCATGAGAAGTATGTGGAAAGGGTTATTTATGGACAGCATCTAGTTTCTTGCTTCTCTGCTTTATGGTACTTAGCTATTTCATGTACTAAGAAATGGCTGCTACTTAACACCTGTTTATTTCCTCTTTATAATCTTGTTAAAACAGCTTTACCAGGTGTGAAGTCTTTATCTCATGTTCATGTCCTGTTGATGGCATCTTCTGCTCATAAGTCAGTCTTGAACAAAGTCATTTAATGATTCAGTCTGAGTTCAGGATCTATAAATGCGCAAAGCTGGGGAGCAAGTTTAGTAAACATACAAAGCTGAAAACAGCCAATTTTTTTTTTTTGGTCAAGGTAAATGGTAGCAATATTGCTAAAAAATACCAATTAAAAATGTAACTTAGATGTTTTGATAAAAAAAGAGTTTATTATTTTCCTGCCTCCTTCGCTGTTTTCATAGAGTGTATTATTTCCTTCCTGCTACTTCTGTTACAGCATACAGCTTCCTTTTTTGGACACTTGGGCTCTGTTCATCTAAGTAAGCTGTTTACTGCTGTTACTTGACAAATCTTGATCGTGTTTGCTAAGGGAGTAGTTTGAAGACCAGCTCTTTCTGTATCACTCTTGTATTTTAACTCTTTTTAATTTTTTTTGCTAGTGAGCTGTAACACACCACCAAGGGTCTGTGTGGGTGCTAATGTCAGCCCAAAATGGGACAGAACCACATGCATATTTAGAGGGGACATTGAGCGCAGCCTTCAGATAGAAACTTGTGCTGATGGTGGCCCTGGCTGTAGCAGAAACATGATATAAATCATGCCAGCCATCAGCTTATCCTTCATGTGTGATTCTCTCATTTTCCTCGCACTTGCATTTGTGTGATTGTTAATTGTTTATGGAATAAGTAGTTGTTTTTTTTCTGTCATTTGGTTTGCAGGCAGATTTTTAACTTGAATCACTTCTCATAGGCACAAAGTGTCAAAGTGATTGAAAAGAAAGGAGGCAGAATTTAAGGCAGCCCAACTGCCCTCTGACCTTGAAACAACAGCTAGAGAGTGATTAAATGATTGAAGTAGTAATTTACAGACATGTATGCGTGTAGAATTAAGTAGAAGATTCGATATGAGGCTTGATGGCACATTGAATGCAATTTTGTATAAATCATTTTTTCCATACTTTATTTTACAGTTGCTGCTAACTTACAGAAAATAGTAGATGATCCAAAGGCCTTGAAAACATTGACTTTTAAGTTGGTAAGTAACAGCATGAAGGGAAGAAACAAACTAATTATCACAGAATCAACTTTGTGTGAATATTATCTTATTTACAGCTATTTTGTTGAATAAATATGTTGACAGATGACTGAAATTGCCATGTATGAGTGAAAAAGCTTAAACCCTGTTTCGACAGGAGGGCTCCATAACTGTGCATGGGGAAGGAGGTTCAGTCACGTGAGTTCTGAGGAAGTCTGAGGTTTAGGTGAGAAACTGCAGGAAGAAAACCTATGAGAAGAATTTCAGAAACAAGTAAAGCAGAGAAAACTGTAGTTCCTAGGTTAACACTCCTTCAGTCCCACTCACTTAGCTCTGCCCCGACTGAAATGTCCTCTGCTAATGGACATTTTGTTCCAACCCCATTTTTTCTAACACCTGCCACCATTTTTCTTGCATGCAGGTCACTCTCTTCACTTGCTTCTCCTTAGTGGTTCTTCTCAACCTTCTTTCAGTTGACCATCCACACCTGCAAGTTTATCTTGCTCCCAGTGTATTTCATTACTTTTTCTCCTTTGCTTTCTGTCTTCTGTATGTACATCATCAGATGTTGGGTTTGGATCTGGGGCTCTCTTCTGTGCTGCATTTTGTGCCCTGGACCCTGGGTCCTAATTTTGGTTGATTTTGATGGTATCATGATAGATCTAATTTAATATTAATCAATTTACATTGCAAAAACTTAAGTCAGAATTGATGTGCTCTGTTTTTATTTCTTGCTAAAATTAAGTTGAAAAATTTATATACTTGAAATTATTGAATTATTGGCTGTGGAAATACCAAGCTCTTACCAATTAGCTTTCAGCACCTTTTGCTGAGAGTGACTCATCACATATGAAAAACTAGAATGAATATCTGTTAGATAAGCTTTGTTTGTAAAAGCAGCTACTTTAGATGGGTTGTAGAAAGTCATTATTAGACCTAGTTGATGATAATGTATTAATTCAGCATTGTTGTTCCAGTGTCATTCCTGAAATACAAAGTCAAATAGTTTTAGCTGACTCATTTGGACTCTTCTACAGTCCAGTAAAATCTCCAGAACTGACATGTTTCTTGTGAGAAGGGATTGGGTGGGGGAATAAAGACATGTAACTCACATTATTTTGTTTCTGTGCCCTTTGCTATAAATACAGTGTAATGGCTGATGCTTCCCTTTTTGCAGCTGATCTGTGCTCTTGCTGTCTAAACATCTGAATTGGCTTTATTGTGTAATCAATGGCTTCTCAGTAAGAGCATTTAGATAGATAGATACTCCTGAGGCTCTACAGAAGTCTGGGTTTCTTTTTCACACACTTAAAATAGAGGCGTGAAATTCCAAAACGTAATATCCCATAGTATTCAGGTTATATATGCTGAAAACAAATCCTCTTGAAAATTTAGGTTCGGGTATTTCTGCGATTTAGTTGGATTTATTCCCGGGGTGCAGTCAAGGTCACATGGTATGTGAATGCTGCTATCATCCTTATCCTTACCTTAATCAGAATTAATAGACAATGCAAACTCAATGTCTCTGTCCCTTCTGAAGGTAAGTTGCATTGGCTAGATAACAATTCCTGAGGTTATTTTTTTACCAAAGTTTCTTCCTGATTCTTTTGCTCTAGGTTTCCTGCATTAGTTCCCTACTTTGCGGGAAAAGAACATAACCACAAGAAATATACTAATTTATTATTATTATTGGATTAATTTAATGTATGTTCCATTTCTACCTGTTTCTGTATTGCGTAGTGAAGTTGCTAAATTAATTGTGGCCTAGGAGAACTGTGTCATATCTTTGTATGCCCTCCTGGGTCTTTGCTACCTCTTAGCAAGATCTCACTGAATTTGAGAGCATTTGTATACAACTTGATTAAAATAATTTTGTTGCTAAATATTTAATGGGGATTCAAGGTCTAAATGTAGGTAATCCTATATCCATTCAGAGAATTCAACTGAAAAGTACTCCTTAGTCTAGGATTAGTTACTTCTATTTGTGGACAAAGAATCTCGTTAGTATGTCATTGCTTACAGATTGCTTTTGCTGATATTTTGCTATTATAGAGTATTTCTATTCAAATGGCAAGCATTTCATCTTTTTGGGGAAAAAAAGGAACAATTTATGTTGTAACTACTTTTGTCTTTAATTATTACCAAAATGGTAAAGAAAATTTTTAAAGTGAGGTGCCTGGATGGCAGGGGTTGGATTCTCCCTCTTGCGTATTTTTGAAACAGTGTATCTTTGATCTTAAAATGATCTGTTATTCTGCAGAAGGTATATATAGTATTAAATCTCCCTTAGTTGTCTTGGCTAACACAGAATTAAGGCTTCCCTGCAGGATCCAGCTGTCCATGCTTTGGGAAGGAGGCTGCTTTAATACATATGTAATCGTGGCAACACTCAAGGAAACACAGAATTATTGCACAGCATAATTTGCATTTCATAGAAGGATTTTTTTCTGAAAAAGGGCGGGAAAAAATACTAATGAAGGAGTGCATTCAGTCACTCCTGAATACTTTCCTGTTGCAGTTTGTGTATAGTAGTTGTACTTACACTAAGCACAAAATCTAAGCTGATAAATTCCAGGTGCATTAAATAGATATAAAATGGTATTTATTGACAAGGAAGGCATTTAAAAATCTATATGCATCTAGATATGTTACTTACATGGCTTTGAGAAGATTGACAGCTAGCTAGAGTGTAGAATGATGTAGTAGTGTTAGCTCTTTTTAGCATTTCAAGTGCAAATCTGCATTTATTTAGTAAATTCCCAATTCAAGAACCATTCAAATATCTTAATACTAACCAATGGTGATGATCTCAGATCTTTAACTTGCTGCTTCAGTGAAATAACAGCTGTGAAATACTATCGGAAGAGAGAACTTCTGTTCTCTATCTGCTCAAAGTAAATTTTAAAGAGTAGCCTGATGTAATGCTTCCACAAGTGGCAACACAGTTTAAGTCTGGTCATGAAAATTGAGCGGATTGTGTCACTTGGCGCACCTTGTATGCACAATCTGAGAGTTCTTTACCATATACTGCGTGAACATGAACCACATCTATTAAAGGGTTCAACTGCTACTCGTGCATGAAAGGATCAAGAGAGTTTTTATAGGGTGAATCAGTTGTTCTGTTGAGGACTTTTCGTGATATGCAAAAGAATCTGAAGGCATCTGTCATAGCTAACTTAGAACTACACACTTTTAATCCAATTGTATTATTGTTTTATCTACCACACAGATAAAAATGCATGAAAAACTTTGTTTAAAATGTAGTCACTTTTGTCCTACAGAAAAAAATTTTGTATTTAAAAATAAAAATATAAAAATATTTTGCCTCCAGCATATTTTTTTTTAAAGCAGACCTAAAGTAACAGTTCAGTCCTGAGCAAGGTGGGTTTATATCCTTACCATTATATGTGAAAAATGAACTGATCACTTGTGCCAGTTTGTATTTTGACAGGCTTTACTGAGGAATCTCAACTATACAATTTCAAGTACTAGACTGTACTGCTAGAAGGGAGCTGTCCTTTTGCAAATATTAGTGTTTACTCTTCGTAGACTGCTTCAGTTTCTTGTTTGAAAATTTAGTTGGTTGGTATTCCAAACCGACTTGCTGGCTGGACTCATGAGACATTTCCTGTGTATAGCACAGTGGTAAAAAGTGGATTCTATACATGTGTATTAATTGCTGTTCATGAGTAAAAATAGCATACTCACATGAAAAATTTGGCTCCAGTTGGGAAACTTTAGTGTAAAGAACTTGGGTATTTCAGAGTTCATTTTCCAGTATTTTTTTTTCCATAATCTTTAATATTGATTACAATGGTTTGCTAAAATTAAGGATGCAATTGGCTGATGTTGACAGAGGCTACATCAAGCAGTCTGAAAACTTTTATTCAACTAAGCTGTTTGCTGAGTAGGCTATATGGGGAAAATTTATATCCTGGCTGTCAGATCCTCTGTTGTAGTGTGGTATACTAAACATTTCTGTTTGTACTTGCAGGCCTCCGGCTGTGATGGCACTGAGATTCCCGATGAAGTGAAACTGATTGGTTTTGCTCAGTTAAGCGTCAGCTGATGTCTGTCCCTTGACCCCAAGCCGAATTTTGAGATTGCGAAGAGGCCAGCTTAGATGCAAAGGAAAATTAATGCACCACACACTGAGTTCTGCTTCATTATCTAGCAATTCACAAAGTCAGAACAAGCAAAGCCCACAGCTACACTGCTGCTGTTAACATTCAAAATGCTCCTAAATGTCTCTTAGCAGTTGATTTGGATTCCCCCTAAGTGACAAGCTTGTGGAAGTACACTCAGGTGGTTATATTTATTGGTTACAAAAGGAATTTTCTATCAAGCTTACTTCTTTCATAAACTTTGAGTGATACTATTCTACCTGTACTTGTGGTTGATAATACTGCCTCTGTTCTGTTCTATTTAGAAATTAACATACATATAAAAGTTTAGAATTATTAGCCAAACTTGAATTCTAGTTTTAAAAATGACTGTGAATTTTATTTTTCATATATTTATGCATTAAAACACTAGTAATAAGAAAATGATTTGACTTGATTATGTACTATTTGCAGTTAATCTCCCACTATTTAAAAAAGTTTCAGGTATGTCTTTAAAGTATTTGGTAACTTCTAGGGGTTTTTTTGAAATTAATTGATTCGGCATTAGCAAACTTTTGTTGGTTGTGTATCAAAAAACCAGTCCACAAACTGATTGTCAAGGGAGTGGGAGGTGCCTTGCAGATATTAATGTTTTAAGAATGTGCCTGAGGCTGCTTATATAAATAATCTCCATTTTCTAAGTACCATACATATGGTACAACATATATAAATATATATAGTTATCTGAGCAAGGAGGGGATATACAGTAGCAAAGATGTTAGAGTATTTTGACTATGCTTTATTGGGGAGTCTATGAGCTAGAGCTATTTTGAACTGTTGTTGTTAAGGTAGAATGCATACTGTGTCCATCTCTGATCTGACTTACCCTTAATGATAGAAACCGGTTTCATACAGGTGATAAAAACTTGAAGAATGGAACTGAAGCTTTATTTCAAGTTCTGTAAAATACCAAGGTGGAGTGAAAATAATAGGGCTTTGTGCAATGATCAAGTAAAACTCTGTTACAAAGAAAACACGACCCAAGTAGTCTTCTGCTTAACCTGTGACATAGATGTTATGGAGCTAGTGAACCTTAGAAGGAGTTCCAAATTTGGAGACATGTTTCTCAGAGGTTACAATTTAAACTACTTCCTAGCTAATCCTAGATAAGCGGCAGCTCTGTAATGTACTGAAAATGGCAAATATATATTATTAAGAAAAGTTATTTATAATGCCTTGTTATAATCGTTGAGGTGTTCTAGAACCATTTGCATACGACTCAATGTAATCCCATCCCATCCTACTGTTTACATGATGATTACTCCAAGATGACTGCAAAGGTTCAAAAAATAAAGTAAAAATAAAGGTGTATTGCGCAAACTGATTTGTGTTTTGAATTTCCATGTTCTGTGTGCATCTCAGTGGCACAGAGGTGCTGCAGGGCCGTGTTACAAATGGCTGCTGCCCTTACTTTGTTTACAAGCAGCACCTGAGGAGGAGGAGGGAAGGAATTGCTACCTGCTCTCCACTGCTTTGCAGAAGCCACTTTTAAGACTCCCCAGGTGTTTGTACTTAACTCCCAAAGTGTTTGTACTTAACTCCCAAAGTGTTTGTACTTAAAGAAATAATTTGTGTTTCTGGCCCTGTGTGCCTGTGGGGTGCTGGTTGGCATGAGAAGAGACAGGGACGGCCCGGGGTAGGGCAGGTGGCCCCAGCTGAGGTGCGTTTGGGCTGATGAGGCCTCTGGGGGCGATTGGTGCCCTCAAAGCCCTTGGTGGGCGAAGCCCAGCCTAGGGGTGGGTTTTGTCAGCCCTGGAGCAGCCGAACAACAGCGGTGAGCCTTTCCCTGGTGACCTGGGCACTGTGGCCGGCCTTGGCCCCAGGGTGTCTTTGCGGGTGTGGTGGGCAGGGGACCGGCCCCAGCTGCCTGTGACCGTGCGGGGCCGGTGCTGCCCCCGGGGAGCTCGGCTGTGCTGGCTGGGAACAACACATCGTGTCCGGACTGCGGGGCGAGCTGCGATTTGGCAGGTGATCGCTCACCTTCGTGTTGGAGTATGGAGCAAACTGAAAAGGTACCTTAAACGTGCGTCTATCAGTGACATAGTTGATAACCTGCAACACTGCGATGGGGTGGTTGCTGAGCAGAACCGGGAGGAGTTAAATGCTGAGCATTGCAATTGTTTTATTTTTGTTACGTATGTTAATGTAGACTTCTCTAAACATTGCACCACTATTGATTAATTCATCTGCAAAGTAGTTAGCTGGTTAGATTTGTTTTCCAGAGCAGGAAAAAAAAAAAAAAGTGTTCAGGGAAGCTTGTTGTTTTCACGGATCATCAAAAAGAAGTGGGAATATATATTTTGATGAAAATTGTGTTCCACTCGCTATACTCTTCCCCAAAGGCTGGGGAAAAGGTGTTGGGGTATGAATAGCAACTGTCAAAAGTGCTCATCTGCTGTGGTGGTTAGGGCTGCAGGAGGTATCTAAATAAAGAATGTAATGCTTTAATTGTGGCAATCAGCAGTATTGTGCCAAGATAAAGTGGTAACAGTTGTTGCTCACTTGTGGTCTGATATAGAAACATGGTGATGCTTCACTGGGCTTCCTGGATTCAGTGAGACAGCAAATTCGTGCAGCAGTGTTATTTATCTCATCTGTGTTGGTTTCTTAATATTTTTTTTGTTGCTGTCAAGATATTGTGAATAAATACAAAGTGAGCAGAACTAATTTTTGAAAAAGTAGAAAGAAAGAAGAGGTAGTTAAAGCCTTTAGTGTCCATTAAAATTAGTTTATAAGTAGTTTATTCTCTTGGTACATACAGGTGGGAAAAAAAGGTGAAAATATATGGTACATTGCACTAGAAAGCTGTGCAAGCAATGATACAGTAGAAGTAAACATCAAATGTAATAGGAATTTGCTTCCTGAATGCTGTATTTGCATCTTTTGTTAAATAATAAGCAAAAAGAGAAAATCAGTAGCTATTCATTTGTTCACGTTTACGTGAAAAGCATTTAGGAGGTGGGTAAAGTTCTCGTGTGTGTCATGACTCGTCCCAAAGCAGTTGTGATGCTTCTGTTAGAAAGGTGTTGCCGGCTGCAGCACCTGTCTGTGTTTGAAGGAAGAGGTCTCTAATTAATGAGGTGAAGCTGTAACAAGTGAGCTACCATCTAGTTGTCTCTAAGACCAAGAAAATAGGACTTAATTAGATGCTGCTAAAAATATAATCATCTCTGGTGATTATATGCCAGTGCTCGCAGCTGGGCACTTGCAGGCTCTGTGGGCTGATTCATGTCAGTGTCCATGGAGCCACCCATGCCAGTGGGCTCTGCTTCAGTTTGCTGAAAGTAGCTCGGTGGGCTGAGATGAAAGTCAGTTGATGAAACACAGTTCTGTATTTATTATTTTAAAGTGTTAGAAAGGATGAATATAAATGTAGAATTTAGATCACTACAAAACTAGGCCTGGAGTGTAAAGGAGTGGGAGAGGAGGGACATTTCCAGCATTTTATCTCCTGGGACTTCAGTGTGGGCTTTAGGCCAGAAAAGCTGCCTCCCATGCTGGCAACATATGCTTTTCATGCCAAGAGAACAGGAGCACGTCTCTTTCTTCTGATGAGTGCTGACCTCAGATATTTGCACCAACAATACAGTTTTGCATTCAAACTGAAATTCAGCTAGCTAGTTGGGATAAGTATTCTTGCTTTCTAGAATATTATCTTATGTACCATCACAATTTCCTCTATTGACTTCCCTGCCCCAGAGCATATTTCTGCTTTGTGCATGGAAGTGGAAGGGGGAACAGGGAAATAAGTCAGGAAACATAATTTAATTTTTTCTCTCTATGTTCTTCCCTGAGATAGATATCTGTATCTCTTCACCCAGCTTGGTCCAATTTCACATCTCCAATTTTGGGGCTTCCAGAATGGTCTGATAAAATTTGGTTGTGGGATATCTGTTCAGAATGTTTTTAAACACTGTTATTTCTCTGAGAAGGAAATGCTGTGTGCAGCTTGTCAATGGTGTACCTTTCTCTCATGCTTTTCTTCAATCAGAGATTTGTTTTCCTTTTCATCACCTTCCTCTGCATAATGATGTTGGATGGTGAGATTGGCCTGTGCCTGAAATCAATTAGCTGTGATGAGGAATGTGACACAAACCTAAAACACTGCTAATTGAGTGCATTGAAAATGCTGATTTCTGTTTAGCAGGAGCAGAGGATGTTGCTGCCTGCTCCCCCCTCATCCCCCATATTTTATCAAAGCTGCAAAAAAAAAAAAAAAGACCTTGTTGATAATGAATAGCAGTTGGTCTATTTTTCCTCTGAATCAATTGTGATATAACTTTATTCAGTCAATTGCTGTTTTTTTTCACTGCATCAAGTGGGCAGCCTTTCCACCCTCTTGCAATGTACTCATTCATGTGCACACACAAAGAATACTAATTACTTTAAAATAAGTTGGAAAAGTAGCAGGAGCCTATATCTTCAAGTTCCCTGTCCATGAGCTCTGCTAATGAGCAGCTAGATTTACTCAAACGATGAAAAGTCCAACAAAGTTTTATTATACAGTCGTCCAGCTGATGAAACATCTAGACATATTAGTTGAGTATTGTGACATTTTAGTTTTTTATTTCCCCTCAATGACTAAGAGTAACATTGCAGTAACATTGTGTTGTTATAGCTGCTTTATGATTGTTAGATTGATGCTCATCAAGCTGCTTGCATAGTTGTTGTTATCTGAGTTGTTGAATCAAACTCAGGAGTTGTGGAGTTGTCCTCTGCTAATAACGTTTAGAATATGGAAAATGGTGGATCAACGAGCAAATACAGGGATTTGGAAGAGTGTGTGGTAAGGAGAAATGTAATTTTCACTGCAAAAACCAATAGGGAGGCAATCTTGTTCTTCTTGGGACATTAAAATTTTGCCATCTAATTTTCAAATGTGAACTTGAAAAGCTATGCTTGTTTATTGTCTCACTAGAGTGTAGAAGATCACTTATGCAATTGGATGCATTTATGTAAAAGAACAGCCATAAGAAATAGAATTGGAATAGATGGGAAATACATGCCTTTCCTTTCATATTTTTTCCCATAGGTACATATTTTAAGAATTAGTGAAAACCAGACATCTTTCAAATATAGAGCTTTTTTATTTATTTATTCTTACGGAAAAAACCCAAATGGTTACATGGTTTTTTTCATCCACATAATAATTCAGATTCATTAACAAAAGATGCTGCTCTTGCATAGGAGTACTGGGTTCTTTAGATTTACTTTGAGCAAGAGGCTTTTCTAGTTTTGTCATGTTTTCTCTGCTTCTGTAGACCCCATCAATCTAGCTTTCTTTCCTTTGAGGAGAGTTGAGGTATAACATCTCAAAATGTAAAGAAATTTAAGGTTATTTGGTAATGCAACTGTCCCTTCACATGAAAAGCAGTGTGTGTAGCTGCCATCAACAGGCATTCTAAAAAATGAAGCAGAAGAACCAGTGAGGGTCCAGTGATTTTGAGTTGGTGGACTCTGTGCTACTCATGTCATATAAAAATAAGTAAATAAACAGGCAAAAAGATTTTATCTCCCAGTAGTAAAATTTCTCTGTTCTGGAAGATGCAGTGTGTAGTGCTAAACTGCCTCTTTAAGGGAGAGGCCTGCATTTCTGCCTGCATCTCTGTTTTTGAAAGCTTGGAATTGGTTTTAGGAAGCATTCTGGTACTGGGAGGGGGGGGACCCACCAAAAATATGTAAATAATTTGTAATGTAAAGGGCAAGGAAGGTTTTTGAAGGCTGTTACCTTAACCTGTAAGTTTGCTAAAAGTTTGCTTGTTTCCTTCTGGCAAAATAATATCTTTTGCCAATGCCCTGCATTGTGCCAATGCTCTATTATTGACCCAGAAAGAACTAAATACTATATAGAAGAACAAAGTATAAAATCAAATGGTCAGCAAACACGACCTTGTCCAGATCAAGGGAGGTGTGGATGTCAATCCTTCCTCTTCTCCCAAGCTTGCTTGTGGTTTAATCAGTCCTGCTTCCTGCTGCCCACCACTGTGTTCCTATGCTGCCTGGTGGGAGGAGGCTCCTGTGCGATGGTGCAGCAGCGCATCCCACCTCGCTCAGGCTGCTCATCACCCTCGCAGTGAGCACCGAGCTGGGGCCTTTGGCCCTGAATATGCCCAGGCAAGAAGTGAGCAGTGCTCCATTATGATATAAAAAGTACCTTCTTAAAGGTAAACTTGTTATGTCTTTTTTTGCAGGACTTTGTACTTACACCAAGAACTATATTTTATGGTTTTCTAGGTTGTGTCAGTTGCAGACTTTTTTTAGCAGAAGCTGAAAGCTGCAGCTTTCTGATAGTGCAAGAAATGCAATTTGAGAAATTAAAAA